ATGAATGTCGCGGATTGCAGCTACCCAACCGCGGCGGTCGGCGGCAAGCGCCACGCAGATACTGATCCAATGATTCCTCTAGCTACGAGCACCATGCACAACATGGAGTCCAGAAGATCGACATCCGATTTCACTGCAGTGAGCCACGTTTTCAATTGTCCACCATGGTGACGACACCAACTCTGGCAAGGCGACGGTGAAACCACAGCCCTAGTGAAGCCAGTGTCTGGTCTGCGGAGGACGTGACTGAACCAGTGAAGTCTGCGGAGTTGGATGAGCGCTGAGAGCTGAGAGCGCTTACGGATTTCGCCATTGGTGATACGCTCATGCCACTGCGTCTTCAAGATAAGCCTTAGACAACAATGGTCGAAGACTTTCAGCTTTTAAGTGTCTTCTGAACGCAGCGGCCATGTTCCGCAACCATAGAGTAAAATGGCACAAATGGTTGCTGAGAATACACGGATCTTCGTTCTCAGACTAATTTCCGTCCTTCACCACAATGTGTTTCACAGATGTAAGAAAGCTGTTCTAGCGCTGTCAATATGATTCCGGGTTTCGGATGTAACCTGACCATTGGGGAGTATAGTGGATCCAAGATACTTAAACTCAGGAACAGATTAGATGAGTTGTAAATGTAAGGAGAGCGACGGGGCGGACTACGTGGCTACCGGTGAGAAGCATTTCGTCTTGCTGATGTTAATTTCGAGGCCGAACATAGAGGCTGATTGGTCGACCCGATTTAGCAGTGACTGTAGTGATATAGCATCTTCCGCATAGATAGCGATATCGTCGGCAAATTCTAGATCTGACAGCCAGAAGTCAGGGATAACTTGAACACCAGGATAGTCCTCAAGGTCAGGATGCATAACCCAGTCAAGTGCGAAGTTGAACAGCACTGGAGAAAGTGGGCAGCCCTGCCGGACTCTAGTATTGATGTCGAATTCCTCTTTTTCTTCTCCATAGACCCGAATCCGGGCCTTCATGCAACGGTAGTATGATCTCATCAAGTTAACGAGTTTAACCAGAACGCCATCGGCGAGTAGGATTATCCAGAGTGCTTCGCGGTCAACTGAGTCAGACAGCTCGAAAATCAACGAAGCACACAAACGTGGGCTGTTGGAACTCGTAGCGGTGTTCGAGTACTCGACGTAGAGTGAAGATTTGGTCAGTGTAGCCTCTGCCTGCACGAAAGCCACCTTGGTTATGGCGAGTTTGCAGATTTCTCTCATTGTTAAAGCAGGAAAGCAAGATTCGTGCGAAGGTTTTGGCAGCCACATTGATTAGGCTAATCCCGCGATAATTACTAAACACAGTTCGGTCACTTTTCTTGGGAAATGGCAGTAGTACTGGGGTAATAAACGAGGAAGGACAGATTTCGGCCTCCCATATCGAGCAGAAGAGCTCGTGCAAATGGTCGAGGAGAGCTGATAGACAAGATTGGTAGATTTCCCCTGGAATCCCGTCCGCTCCCGTGGCTTTCTTCGGCTTCAGGTGACGAATGATATCTGCAATTTCTGTGGGAGATGGCGGTGAGCAATCCGCGTCATATCCTAGTTGGGTTAATGCTGAAATGGGTGCGGTGGTGTGCAGTGGGTGGTGTAAAAGGTTGCTAAAATACTTTACTCATCTGGAAAGGTTTCATTTCGTATCGGGGATGATTTGGCCTTCCGAATTGTGCAATATCGGCTGTGGTGAATGGCGCTTGCCGGAAGCTAAATAGACGAGACGAAAGAGATGAACCAAATTGTCAGAATTCGATGCAGCTTTCATGTTGCCTGCGATATCAGACCAGTAGCGGTTGCGATCATTCTGTGCTGAGTGGGTTGTCTCACGTCTCAAGCGATGGTAGTCTGGGGAATTCGTGAGACGTGCTTCTCACGCTTTAGCGGATAGTATCGTCAGTGATGTAGTCCTTCCAAGGCTCAGAGGTAGAGCCCAGGGTAGATAAAGCGGCGCGTTGAACTGACAATTTTAACCTAAACCAATGAGCGCCTACAGATTCAGCTTCTACAACTACGAGGCGTGGTGCACTGGCAGAAATTGCTGCTGCCATTGCCGAAACAAGGGATCGGCAGTAGTCAGTATTTTCCAGTGGGGCAGTACTGATACGCTTTGGTGGAAAGGTCTTTTGGCGCGTTGTCAAGCGGAATCTGAATTTGACGCGCAGGAGTAGGTGGTCCGAACCACTTTTATTGCCTGTTTCAGCACCTCTGTACGCTCGACAGTCATCGATGGAAGACATTTACCAGGATCGGATTAAGATGTAATCTATCTGGCTTGTTGTACGACCATCGTTGGAATACCAAGTCAGAAGATGCTTCCTGGGATGCTAGAAGCGAGTACTGGTTACGCACAACCGGTTAAGGTCAGGAAAGCTGAGTAAGCGGCCTCCATTATCACAGTGCTCTCCAATGGCTTATCTCCCGAGTATGTGACGGGTTTGATCATTCCCAGGACCGGTTCGTGCATTCCAGTCCCGAGCAATAATGAGGATGTCGCGTTTTGGAACATGGTTCACCACTGTCTGTAGAGTGTCGTAAAATTCGTCTTTGTCACTTTCCGCTGAGGGTAGGGTTGGTGCGTAGATAGAGATTATGGTCATATTCATCGGGTGACCTTTGAAGCGTGCAACTGCTATTCCAGGTGATACTGGCTTCCATGAAAGGAGAGCGTAGTGTGCCTGGTAACTGAGAGTCATGGCGACCCCTTGATTGCCAGAATTATGTTCCGGCCAACTGTGGTAAAGCCAATATGAGGTGTCTACACCAGGGACTTTGATTAGTCGAGAGCCATAGCCGGGTATTCCAGATTCTGTCAGGCATGCGATGTCGATCTGGTAGTCATGTTGTGCGCGCATCGTCAACCCTTGGATGCCGACATCTAACAGGGTTTTGAAATTCCAGCATCAAATGAATAGTGGCTTCTGGGGATTGAGGGACCCCGCTAGCTTACTTGTCACTCTGGCCACTGGGTTAGCGCAGAACGCGTCGCCTCCCGGGAACGCCGTAGCATGAGAAGAATCGCGGATAACGGACATGTCATGAAGGCTGGCTCAAGCAGAGGAGTAAACGGCAATGGCAGCTCTAACCTCGCCATGAACATCGAGTTTTCACTAGCTGCCAGGTGTTATAGGACTTGAACATCACGCACATGTTGATCGCAGCTGGTCAGCAACAGGTCCATGCACGATGGGGTCGAACGTGTGATAATATGTGTCGGCTGATTGATGTGCTGTGTGGCCTCAGTATCAAACATGATTTCCGCAAAATTCGTTTCGAGTTCGCAGTGACCGGGGAGAAGCTCGACCTCGCCCCACCGTACTCGAGGAAGGTAGAAAGCGCCCATGAGCAGGAATTGTGGACGACTCATGTGGTTGTGCACATAAGGCAATCAGTCCAAGCTGCGGTTCAGTGGACTGCGATACACCACACCCTCGGGGAGTTCGCCGCGTCTCAGTTGCACCAAACACCATAGCTGCTCAAACAGGCCGTCACCGCTTCGGTAGATGCTCACGCGTTTCCCACACAAGGAAGACCGTATGTATAGCAGCATGCCAGCTCGGTTATTTGATAGCCTATCACAGCGCGAGCAAGAATACCCGCTGATTTCAATTTTTTGGGTGGTTATCTCTGAATCTAATCACGTTTCAGATGGACCCAATACGTCTGATTTCCGGGAGGTAACAAAGTGGCAACCGTCGTCATGTTTGTTCATTAGACTACAAACCTTCGTAAAGGCTACATGCAGGCCGCAGTAAGAACTGTCGGGTGTGTGTGAAGCATTATCGATCTGTTTAACCAGATTCGGGGAGGAACCCGGGTAACTATTCGAAATTTTACAATGCGGAGATTTGTTTCCCCGTCTGCAGTGCGCCGCTTCAGTTCAATCACGGCAGACTTGAGTTTTCCTCGGTCTGCTGGATCCATGTCTGCGCGCACATGGATCTTCAAATCCTTAAGTCAACTGAGGCGCGAGAACATCAACCTCGGACCAGCTACGTCAGCAAAAGTGACCCCCATGGGTCGAATATTTCCCTCAGGTTGCTTCCCCAGACGGGCAATTTGCTTCACTTGCCGATCCCTACCTACTCCTTAATACAATGCAGTGTTGTTGCAAGGAACTTCCGTTGTCAATCGCTTGCAGCTTTCACGGCACAGTGAAATCAATAAGAACCATCATCGGTGATACATCCATAAAGCGCAGTATTCCCCAAGCAGTCGTTTTACAATGCACCTAGCATATGCATCGAGGTGCACAGTAAACAGAAGGACTATAGACATTCAACAGTCTCGATTCCACACCTAGCTCGTCGGTTAAACGCTGGAAAACTAACAAAGATCATACCCTAAACATGTGTTTAGTAAATCGTTTAACTTGAGCTATCTGGAACGTTGCCTGAAGTTTCAGCTAGAGCCCCTTTGGTTGCGACGACTGAAACATAACTTGATGTTCATGCACAATCACATAAACCAAAATACACTCCAACCTGTGCGTTAGAATTGCAACATAATTTGACCCGGAAGCGTTGAAAAAAATTTTGTAAATTAATTGTGCGAAGAACCAGGATAGCTATTCGGTATAACTCCTTCATCATCAGACTTACTGTCCTGTGGAATAGCCTACCAGTCACAATCAGCTCTTGTGCAAATGCAAGAAATTTCCACATTAAACTGAAATTTCCTAGACAAAAACAATGACCAACTTTTAATCGAAAAATCAACAAACAAGTTTCTCCAAGATAAACCAAGCAAAGGGAAAGGTTGTTGCACAAAACTCAGAATGCCTTGATAACGCGGACGCTACTGTATACATATATCACTCATGCATGAGCATGCTTATGATTGTAATAATTATCCTTATTCCAGGGACAGCCTCTCGCACGTTCATAAATATAAGTATGATTGTTTAAATGGAGACAAAAACGGCTTGTTAAATGGCTAGTGAAACAATGTTTGCGATCACATTCATCAACGTCCATTGTACCCGCCTCTTCCTTGCAGCATGAAGTCTATCGTAAAAAACGGGAGTCCAACACCCTAGCAGAACAGAGTGCAGCTGCAGAAAACTCACTGCGGACGAGCGTGCTGGAAGTTGACATCGCTTTAAAGGAGAAAGAAAAGATGGCCGCCACATTGCAACGCCTCATGGTTGAGCAAAATTTGCTGAAATTAGAAACGAAGCGGCTTTTCATAGGTTATCAGAAGCGCTTAGACAGGGTAAGTCAGATGATCACTTAAGAAAAAATTACATGTATTCAGAATTCTAGTAAAGAGGAATTCATATAAGTAGGCCCGACAGCATAACCTAATGGTTAGAGAGAAGTACACTTTACTTTCGTCAAATGTATTCAAGACCGTTCTTTACAACGAATGAAAACGGCTCTTTAATATTAACTGTGATGTAAGCAGCAGAAATAATCCAAAATGCCTGCAAGTAATGAAAATTAATGCGATTCAGCTTTACGTCATCGCTGTCCGTGATACATACACACATCTAGTTGCATCACCGAGCCAGGTTCGTCAGAAAGGAAACGGACATTCAGACGCTGACTGGATGGAACTCACTATGTTACATGTCAAGAAAGTAGCTGGATGGCACGTTGTTGGTAACATCGGAATTACAGCTTATGGGGTTCCCATTCAGAATTGCTTGGTACGGTGATTGGCATCGTCAAGGCTACCCTGCGCAACCAGTGCTCCTTTGCAGGTGAATAGGCAACTTCGATGACACTGTTCTCTTCATAGACTTGCCATGCAAATTCTTATAAAACGTTGCATCAACCCGATTGGTGTGCGGGATGGTGGGTGTCGTCAGTGAACTTCCCATTCTAAAATTTATCTGACACCCAGTTGCCAATGGTTAGCAGTATTAATCAGTCTACCTACCGCCTTGTAAGTCAGCATTCGTGGACACTTCTTTTGGAAAAACTTTATTCCTTAACCTCTTTTTAAACATGTACACTTACTACATGCTAGCGGCGCACATTTGATCCAATGAAACCAATCACACAGCCTTCAAACTCAGCCTCCTAGCATTGAAATTAATTGTATATTTTCATCTATACATTATATCGTCATGCTAACTACTTATCTGAGAAGTCGTGGTCATTCTGAATGGAGAAACGTTAAACTTTTACATTCAATTTGTGTACTCATAAATACACAGTTTCTAACGGCTCATCTGCAACTCACCAATAAGGTGATTTTCGTTAAACGCGTTACCAAGCACTTGGTAGCTATCGGGATAAGCCATAGACGATTGGATCGCCATCACCAATCCTACCAGCATGGTGAGTAGCCGGTACAATTATTTTCCGCTGCAAGTCAAAAAGTGAAATTGCCACACCACCGAGACGTTGGCAATCGAGTTAGCTGGGTGACCAGCTTTGATAACGTTGTACAACGCACCTGAGGAACATGCAGTTGCGGCACGCTTTAGACAACATCAGTCATATGGGAACAACGTAGGGCTGTAAACAGTTCTGGAATCTTCGTCGTTATCAGCGACAGCCGTGCACAAACACCCCCAATACATAAGCTTTGCGCAGCAACCGTGATAGGAAACGACATCAAACAAGCCCGCTGCCAAAGGCGTTGTCATGTAGATCTCGATCCCAACATGGTGGAGACGGTTTGACAGCACAAAATCTAGCGACCATGGAGTTCACTTATCGCCACCTATTTTTTGCGGTTACCTGCATTCTGCTTTTTGCTAACCAACGTCGAGTAAATTGAACTGCGTTACCATGAAGAAGCCGTTGCAAGGTATAAAACACGGCCAGCTACGAAGTGCTTTGGCGGACAATTTCATTGCAAGGTCAGGTAGCGTGACGATTACTCATCAATAATCCAACGCACAGCTGTTGAGCCAACAGTATAGTTGGATCATAACAGCTTTTGACGCATGACCACAATAGGGACCATGGTCTCCTCACATTGTTCACGCATCCGCAGCCATGGCAAGTGTCGAGTAAAGCACGTCATCTTACTCAGTTGATGGTATCACTTGCATATTGTTTCGGATAGTGGTTTTCGCCCACTTATATACACTTTTCGCTTTATAGGTGTGCAACCTGGAAAAGTCACGTGAGGCACTGAATTTAGTCGTCGCAGATCGAATGCACCAAATCGCTACGCATCAAGCTATGTTGTCGAGCCAATACCGAATCGGTACGGAGGAGAACGGACGACTAAAGCTTGAGATTCAGTCACGGAAATCCCGGATCGACAAGCTGATAAAGCGGTACATATTGAAACGCATAACAGTTTAAAGGTTGTACTCCTAAGTCAAGGGTGTGGTCACCTCAACTAAGGTAAAATTTCTGAATATATCCCAATTCATTTACTACGAAACATGTGACGTAAACCGGTCCTGTGTGCACTTTGAGTTTAAAGTGACGGCTCTCTGCTAAACTGAACAGCACCATGCCTGTGAACTGCTAAGTATCGATGGAATACCAAAAATAGTCAAAGAGGATTTATGCACAATATGCTGAGCATCTTAGTACGAAGTTCTGCACATCTAGCTCAAATGAGTTCACCAGTGCTGAGATGCTCTGTTACAAAAAGCTCGGTCGGTAGCTACCGGCACTCATGTCCATTCAACTTTTCTAATCCACATGCTACAAGATGCAAAGAACATTGCACAGACGGGGTAACTTTCGTCTTGCACATTTTACTACACTAGCGAAGACAACTTTGCTGTAGAACGGAGAAGAGTACCGGATCGTTGACATGACACGCTGATGTGTATCCATCTCAGGATGAGTGGGTTTAAGGTTGTTTGAGTTTAAACGTTCTTGCACCAGCTACTCATTTCTAAGTACCAACTGAGGAAACGACTGAATTTCTTTTAGGTATGAAATACTTATCGCACTCATGGCTCCACCTGAAGAAGAGGAGGAACGAAGTCAAACTTATTACATCATCAAGGTGATTTCTTGTCAGCATTTTCCATGAAATTCGACGTCCGAGGAGTTTTAGGAGATTCGAAAATACACAGGCCTAATTTAATGTCTCAAGTGTAAAATATTTGTTGACATGACGCAGTTAATAAATCGCGGTCGTTCTGGATCGTTAACTGGATACTGATTAGTCCAAAATTATTTCTGAAACTAGGGGCATGTCAATGTTACAACAACACAAAAGCGTTCACATATGTTCTCCATGCCATTCAACTGTGGATTTAGCAACCTCTAGCTGAACCCAAGCCAAATCTCATATGGCCTTCACATAAACGATTTTTCACGGTCTCTGTTGCAGGCCGCTCAAAATAAGGAGACGCTTCAGCAAAAAGGTGACCAACTGGACAACGAGACCAAGCAGGCGGAACAAGAGTTGGCAGCCTTGGAAAATACACTTGCAGTTATGAATGGATGCAACAACGTCTATCGCCTAAGCCTTGCCAAATTGCCTCCGGATGCAGAAGAGCTGCAGTTGGAACGAGAACTGCAAGAACAGCTTCGAGTTTTGTCCATCAAGCTGCGTTACGATGAAGCCAAATTAAATGAAGTGAGGGAAAGTGAAAAAGTGAGTGGTGTGTGTGTGTGTGAGAGAGAGAGAGAGATTGTCAAGCATGTATGCATGCAGCGCCAGAACTGTTCATTGATTTGTGATGAAGTAACTCGACAAAATTAGGAGCCGTAAAAAGAGCGCGACTGCCTGGCATAACTACTGCCTGATGGAAGAATATGAACTTCAGATATTAGGTGGCAGGAGTTTCAAGACGTTCTCTTTCTTCGTAACACAAGATATGCGAGTGTAATGTTTAGTGCAATCATTTGGCCTCTGTCGTATTGAATATTTTGCATACAAGCTCAGCCCCTTGAGCATGAATGTTAGCTTTTATTCAGGAATCTTCAAGCAAAATTGGATAGGATAATGTCATCCACCGTTTGAACACGAGTCGATCTGGCACCATGTTCAACACACCGACCTGCACGCCCTCAGTGATCCGTATTCTCCCACAGATGTTACACTGGCAAAACATCGCACTCAATCTGTAAAGCGGATATACGGTAGACGGAACGGGTTTCAGAGTTCTGACACTTGGAAATGATGGAGATCACCGGTGACCTATTGATTGCACTGTCCTCGCAATTCCATCATAGTTGAGCGGACTCCTCCCATGTACAACTGACGAACTGTCCAAATATTTTAACTATCGTCATATCACTTAATAGACCAGCTTCGACGCAGTGTATATCAAGGTCAGCAACCACAAGGCTATTTGCCGGGCGGGAGCTTGAACTCTTTGGGCAGATGTAGCCGCTAAGGTTTAACATTCGTGTGAACGACCAGCTCTGCTATTAAGTCAAACTTGAGATCAAAACAATTAGCACAGATCAGAGAATCGCCGAGACTGTAGCATGAAACTTCATAAGCAGGAGGCAACGGAAACGCGAAAACTAACCATACTGTAGGTCACAACACTTGACAAACGTTTGACTTTATGGTAGGAATTCTAGTGACAGGCATAGTAATTTGGGAAGAAGACTAATTCCGTACCAACCACTGTTCGAAGCTTATGCACCAAACGCGCATCTACGAGGCATGACAGTATATGTACGATAGTGGCGGTGTCCAGAATGTTGTCAGACTTGCCCGCTGGCATTTTCGAAACTACACTAACCTATTGATTGTGTAAGTTTTCGGATTTTGAGCGGTTCTCCGAGCTGAGTGATTATTGTGCAGACGTTTCGTTGCCTGACTAGGCAACATCATCAGTGCGGTTTCAGGGGCCTGGTTCGCAGTGCCTCGTAAGCGACTTCAATGTCCAAGTGCTTATTGATCAAGTTCTGCTTTGAATGCCCTTCCGGAAGGGCCAAAAGCCGGCAAGCACGTGAGTTCATTGAAGCCTGGCATTCAAAGCAGAACTCGATCAATAAGCACTTGGACACTGAAGTCGCTTACGAGGCACTGCGAACCAGGCCCCTGAAACCGCACTGATGATGTTGCCTAGTCAGGCAACGAAACGTCTGCACAATAATCACTCAGCTCGGAGAACGGCTCAAAATCCGCATCCACACCCAGACCTACGCATATTCTCATTTATTTCAAAGTATGTGTAATTTTTCATCAAGTAAGTAGAAAATGAGTGGCAAAATGGACAAGGCAACTAGTGTCGAATTGTCATTCAAACTTCTGTTCCGCCATAGCGGAAGCATCCGCTCATTGCGTCCGGAAAGTGACTTACAAAATTTGATAATCAGTGACTGATTCCGGTTTAGCGTGTAACGAACGGCGGAACCTGTGCTACCCGTATTCAGTGGAATGCGAAGAGCGTAACCCTGCGTGGTGAAGCGATTTAGAGTGATAAGCCATTCGAGACTTCAAATGCAACTAACCAACATTTTGTTAGATAGTAGCAGGTAAATTTCTCGGCATTTGGAGTAAGCTAGTCACAGCCAGACAGTCAACATACATTCTCCAAAGAAACAGACGGTAAATTCGCTCTGTTTGGAATCGTCAATAGCACCGATTCAAATTCTGTTTCTACGGGATTCAAGCGTACGACCATCCCTTGCCTGTCAACTACTAGGATATGGATGATACTAGTAGGCTACTGAGATTCATTACTCTTTGATAAGGCGCGGCACACCCCATCGACTATTCTAAACAGTTTCCGTTTGTTTGCAAACCACACTTCAGGTGATAACAGTCTGTCTGTTAGTAGCAAAATGCAGATATCGGAGTGGAAGCTCTGAAGGCTTGTTAGCGGTTTGCCCAAAGTCTAGTGTATCACTCCATTTGTGTATACTGAAGAGCACACCAGCAGTGATGGAAGCACTCGCTTACAATGTCGTCGTTGGTATAGGAGACATTATGGAGCGCAGACTAGGATGACGTAATAGCAGGTCACATAGTTTAAGACTACGTTTGTCAACATGTTCTGAGTCACCAGAGAAATTGAGAATTAAAGGATCACCGGGGCTGAATTTTCGAGCCTGTGGATAGACCATCTCGGTTTCCAAGCAGAAGCCGAGGAAGGGTTGAAGATCTGAAGATGGACGGTCAGTGATATTCACCAAATTAGGTCCTCGCACACGATTAGACGACGACTAATTGCTCCTAACGTATTAACCCGAAATCACAGCGTACGCATTATTGTTTAGGATAGATACTCTTTCAAATGAACATTCCGTACATTTCGTTGAGTGTTTATGATGCGGCCGTAAAAGCTCTGCCGCATTCTTGAATCGTGAAACCATGCATAAAAATTCAAGTTTCGGTTATCTGCATTGACCCCGTAGTACCGCAGTGATGAAGGGACTCAAAGTACGAATAAACTGACGAGTTATTGATTCGTTGATGAAAAGCTCTGTTGAAACAGAGATACAATCAGCTATAGGCTTAAATATATGTTTCGTCAAATCAGTTGGGGCGCCGCAATTAAAATAATAAGTGAATCGTCACATTATCACTGTACTCATGCACGTTACGGAGATAACCTTTTTCTACGCAGACAATGTCACAAACTGGAGAGCGAATTGAAGAAGAGTTGAACTCCTACAGATACCAAAAACGTAAGCTGACCACCGAAGTGGAAAAAAAGGACAACGAAATAAGGACCCAAAAAGAAAAATACAACCGAGCAGTGGGAAAGTTGGAGAAAGTGAAATTAGCAATTCGCAAGACGGAATCATTCTCCGCAGAACAGCGAGTCGCTTACGAAGAAGATATTCAAGTAAGTGGGAATTTCTTACAATGAATGATTAGTAATTTGAATGTTGATATTTTCAAACGATAAATCGCAGTATCTTGATAGATACATTCCTCTAAACTGTCTCATCATGATGTACACCGAAAGGAGGAAGCTAACCCGAACGCTAAATCTTACTGAATCGTGAACCTGCATACGAGAGGCGTTTACGAATTGAATTGGATAATTTAAGGAGGTTTTCCAATTTGGTATTCTATGTAGTAGTGATCACCGAAAGAGATGGAGAAAATGTTCATCCCCCTAATAGTATTTGACAAGGGGAGACAAACAAATCATGATAGTTTGCAATGAGGTAGTATATCCTGCGTATTAAGCTAGCCGGTGGACGATTAGCAGAAGGAATACGTATCGCGATCAAGAGGAAGCCGGTTCCAACCTAGTAGGTAGACTGCATCATGGTCTACGGTGATTCGCCGGATAGCTGTCTGACAACCAGTGGCGTTCATCAGGGTTATCCGATTTCCATACCATTGTGCAACTTTGTCATGGACTCCACCAGAGTGTTCCCTTCCGGAATCTAACAATGCAAGCCTTGAGGTGTTGCTTATGCGAAAAGCAGATGATCTTGAGTAAACAGACAATATTGTCCAACTGTTTAACCGTAACCCACCAAACCATGGATAACCTCTCTAAAATGGCCCTATCACTTGGTATGCACTTCGCACCTGCAAAGTACAGTGCTGCTGCACGACTGCCCGCCACTTGGTGGCTCACTGAGACCTGACAGCGAAGAACTCGATGTAGTTGATCACTCTAGTTAGTTGGGCGCATGACCACTGAAACCAGTTCACGTATTGCAAGAGCTAGAACTGACTTCCTGAACCTGCAACATCTATGGCGTCAAAAAGACCGCATGTACATGACTACAGAGAGGACCTCCTATTCTGTGGCAGTGAAAGTTGAACCGTCCGGTATGAGGGTCTGAAGCACTTCCAAGAACTTGATCACCGTTGCCTGCGAAGCATTGTTGGTGTCGGTTGGCATCAGTATGTCCGAAACGATTATGGACGTAGGAGAGTACTAGGCAGTGATAACCAAACTAGTTCTTTAGAACAACAGATAACACGGAATAAATTGCCTTCGCTTGGACACGTACTGAGTATGCCCCACCACTGCTTACCGATGGGAGCCTTAGTTTGTTTACCAGATGTAAGGTGGCACAAGGCCGGAAGTGGGAAAAAGTTAACGGCAACGGGAAATGAAGTCAATGACAATCAAGCTTGTTACTGCTGGTCGGTCTCGCCTTCCACGCCTTGTGCTTGGCTCGAGACGTCAAAGAACATGGCTCTCAGTCGGCACCAGTAGCGCGTCTACTGCCGTTTGTTAGTCAGACTGGCTGTTTAAAGTGTGTTTGGTGCAGAGTTATCTGCGGGGCAATGAAAGATTATGACGCGGGGCAGTGAAATCCGCAAGAAAGTTGTCTCGCCGATGCCGCCTTATGTTTGCACGAAAGACAGCTGTTTGTGATGTCATGTTGACAAAAGCTATAGGCACCTTTAGCCCGAATGTAGTAGGGTTTTCCGGTAATTCCTCCTTCTCTCTCTCGTATAGTTCTTAGTTCCATAGGTCATTGTTGTTGTACGGCAGAAAGTATCTGTTCAAATGGCTGATGTAGTGTTGTTGTTAACACCTGAGCCACTGGTTGTCAAATTCTAAACGTACGTAGGCGGAGGTGCAGACTTACTATAAATGAATGGGCACCTTTCGAAGTATGTCGTTTCTTTCACATAATCTGCCGGATGGTGGTAGTCCATTATGTACAGATAGTTGCAATATGAGTTCATGCCACTATTCACGGGTGATGAGCAGAAGTTAAATGTTTTCTTCGTCCAAAACAAACTCACCCGAGCTAACACAGGATCAGGCTCCGGTGAGTTAGCTCCTGGGTCAGGTCGACACTGACTCAATGATTAGAGAACAAAATAGTTGCAATGAAATTTAGCACAACCAGAATGAACCGGAGTTATGTAAACGTCCAGGAACACATTAGGCAGTTGTATATTCCATTCAAAGTCGGTCACCATTGTGAACGTACCCGGATCGCTCACTTCTCACAGGTGGCCTCATACTTTACAAGATAGTTGACGTAATCATGGGGCACGGGGTGATGACGGAAGTCGAAGGAAGTCAATATCCAGTTACAACATAGAATGTCCCATTCCCAAATGCCATACAAGGAGCCGCAGACTCGCGATAAGACGAAATGTCTGCTTAGTGCTTTTTCGGACGCTTGGGAATTGCTCCGATTTGAAAGCTGTTGAAATGAACCCACAATTAATTACATAAAAACTCTAACCCACAAATAACTAAATGTTCTGTCTGTTTTTGGACATCCACAGATCCGATTGGTGAAGGAACTGGCTGATCAAATGACTCACGAGTTGCTCAGCAAACTCCGGCATGATGTACAACTGACGGACCAAGCGTGTGCGATGATGTCCGCCTGTGGTTTGTCCTACAGCACACTCAGCGCACATCGACACAGCCGAGCAACCACCAGCATGAGTAGTGGATCTTCAAATAGTCCGACGACTGATTCAACATCAACCAACTCAAGCACCAGTCCCCCAGCGGGAACGAGTGTGGAGAACGACAAAAGCGGGGGACGAGGCACATCGACAGCACTGTAAGACGGTTAATAATCTGTTATAATTAAATTGATACCAAAACTTCGAAACCTCGATCGTGCGATACGTTTGGGCTGATTCCCAATCCTTACCTGGTGGACATGATGGTCACTCACAGAGGCTACAATTCATGAGCGAGATTTAGATATACGGTGCCACCTTAGCGCACCACATTAGTACCTCAGAGGCCTTACATCACACTCTGCATCCCGAATGCAGACAAGTAAAGATGCCAACTTCGGATCCCCGTTAAAAGCGCAGCGGACATAACAGATAAAGCACACTAACTGATCACTTTCAAGTACAAAATACGTCAGTAGAACAGTCCCACAGTGGGTTATATCGTCGAAGCCAGAGGATTGTTAAGAAAGCAATAAGCAGTCGCAGGCTTAGGCTTATAAAAGTTAACCCCTAGGTACACTATTCACCTGCCCAAAAGAGCAGGAAAAATGGTCCAGTGAATTAACATCCAGATATCTGTACACAGGTCTCAAGTGCAAGTCGGTACCATCAACCTTGGTCAACAGATCATGCTGCCGGGAGGAAGCCAATCACGTGTACAACCCAGCCACAGTGACAGGAATGAAGGGACTTCCAGTTCAGGTGAGTACGACATGGTGCTGATGAGTGCACCAATAAAATGTCACTCTAGAACGCTTCCTTTCAATGTTGTACCTCCTACACTCCTTGAAAATAGTTGGGTGAGAATAAAACATCGGCACCAACAATGATGAGGTATGAAGCTGCTATTATCACCACCGGTTGGCGATGTCCGAATGTAAGTGCGTGTAAACAGAAGGATAGACAGAATCCGGCGGATGATAATCAATACCACAGAGTGCTGAACTATACATCACACAATGTGACCTTCGTGTATGATTTGTGCATACGGTGCACCCACATAGTGATTAAATGCAAAGCAGAGAGTGAGAAACTACGGTCGCCAAAAGGTTCAGCGAAACAGTATATGCAAAAAGGTGGCGGTTGCGACCACCCTTATGGACATACTGAAAGATTCGCTTGACTGGAACTGTTTACCTACTCGATGGACCGCGTTACCACTCCCACTACTAGGTGCCAAAGTTCATATGTGCTCTCACATGGTTGAAAAACAGTTGATCTTATCCGTTCTCCCGCTGCAGAGTACACGTGAATTTAAAGCTTTACCTCATTATATTCGATACGGGAGTAAGTATATGATTGGAACAGGGATTTTCTTGGAAGTAAATCTCGGCGAATTCAGTCACCAGGGTTGTTAATGGTACAGATTCATCTTGGATGGCCACTGGATAGCCACCTTCATGAGTTCGCCCCTCATACATAAAATCAACATCATCAACCAGTGTGCATTGACACAGCCTAACAATATGCATCGCGTGCTAAGCGGTATCCTTTGTGCCATGAAAGCGTCACACACCCATGCAGGGCTGACCTGATTCATCAAGTGAACCAACGTTATAGGAAAGGTAATCGAATTAATTGACACATTTGGAGCTCTACTTCGACATAGGGTAGTCGAACAATTTGAGCATGGCACCGCACTAGGTGAAGTGGGCACAGATGTCCCCATTTCACTAACCAGGCGTACCAAACAAGGCGAGTTATGAATATCCAAAACGTAAACCGGTATAGTAATGAGGACAGAGGGTATTGTTATGGTCTAATAAACGATGTTTCTGCTTTGTTGACTTATACAGCTATAATACGAACCAGAAAAGGTCAAAAATGAACGTTCAAGCTTTTCGTGCAGTGACAATCTGTTACAGCGCAATAAGACCACATGCTACGTGCAGCAGTAATACCATTAGGGTAGCTAGTGTAAAGTAGCCTTCTATCAGCGAACCAATTCAAATTCAGTGAAGTGCTGTCGCAATGATACCATTACGCTGCACAGGCGCCAAAAGTGTGCAGAACAAGATGGACTCCCGGCTAGTGTTGGTCGTCTGTGGGAAGCAACGAAAACCCTCAAGGCAATGGCCGGGGGCTGTCAGCATCAGTTTCAGTCGCTATTCGGACTCGTCTCCGAATAAGAAACCCATGCTTTATAGTGGAACCTGTCGCAGTATCCTGCTACCGTTATTCTGCATATGCATGACATCCGACTAGTTATATAGAATAGACCAAGCAGACACTGATGCTCAAAGATCAGTAGTGCACTAATCGAACTGAGAAAACTGGTTATATCCAACTATACACTAAGTCAAGCAGCCGGCATTTATGAAACCTTGGTACCTGAAATATGTTCCCAATGTCAATTACAATACAGATTACCCTGAAATGAGAATAGTAAATATTTTCTTCATTAATCGACTGACCATAAGTACCCGACAATTGTCTCGTCAAATATGTTATGGTTCATGTGTTTTGATCAAGTGAGAACGAAAGGAAACGTAAAAATCCCGTTTTATATTTTGTTTCAGCCAAAAGCGCGCATGGAGAACGGCCATGAAGAATACAGCCAAAATATACGCTTTTGTAACAGCCCATATGGACCAAATGCATAAAACGACAAGTTCCTCGTTTCCGCGTTGCATACGGATGGGCAAGCACCACATCGAGTGAAGCCAAGAATGCATTTTTATGCACCCAAGAAAGATTAATTTTCAGCTACAATACAATTGCGCACTCAAACGGTTCAAATTAGTGATCAGTCCGCGTTACTGTTAGCCAAAAGTCATACAAACAAAGCTCACTAATATGAAGACGTGTAAGACATCAGCCGTATGCCGGGACGCAGTACAAACGATTCGTTGCCGCGAAACCACCACCGGTCTTACGTGGGCTGAGGATACTGCGAAGATCACCTTGACGCTACGCAGACTCGAACGCGCGCCGTCAGATTACAGGACAAGTTTGTTACCTTTAGGCTACGGGCCGGCGCTATGGACGCGTATGATGGTGCGCGACGTGTCCCGATGCAAATCGGTTACGCTAGCGGTCACCAAAGATTTTTCACAGCATAGGTTGCGTGATCATTATATACAATACTTACAGAGCTGAAAGAAAACCCTGAACAGAAAGATAAGGAAAACGCGACACTAGGTATCCGCTTTAGTGAAGGCTGAAACAAAAAGGCACGAACAAGAGAAGGAAATTAAACACATTTGGGTCTTGAATCACAAACATAATGAAAGTTCTGTTGGAAATTCGAAAAAAAACAAAGGACCAAGGGTAACTGGTAGAAGTACGGCTCACCAGAGATGAACAAGAAGTTCATTAGTACCTCGGGTAGTTGAATATATCACACAAGAATGTATGCATATATATGGTTGGCGGCATCCGGTTTCGGATTTGCCTGTCACTGTGGCAAGCCACAGGACGCCTGCGCCTACAGAGGGACCATGGATGGCTTGCGCTGCACCACCCACAGCTCCAACCACACACCCCATATCCAGTGTAAACCCAAAGGAATAAGACCGGGAGGCATGCGGATGGGAACCACGTTTCATCAACGGAGCCGGCCCACACTCCTTCACAGGCAAACACAAGCACACTGTATTTGGGGAATCAAGCGCACACAAGGCGGTGGCTGGACCGGAGTCCGCTCCACACTGAGTGCATGGAACCGCTCTTTGAGCCTAGCACGGCCACAAGAACCGTGCACCCCGTCCCCTCCAGCAACGACCAACTGTCTCTTGGAGCCAGTATGAACGATGTAGTGGGTAATAGACAGGTAGGCACCTTGTCAACATACACATCAAGTGCAACCATACCAGGGATATCAAACTACAGCCATTCAATTTAAACGACAAGCTGAAATAAAATAAATCCAATAATGCATACAGATACGGTGGCATAACTCTTCGCTAAATTACCATATGAAGTAAGTTGGTCAGCAACAAATCCGTGATAAGTAAGAAATGTCCACAAGTTACTTAAAATGCTACAAACGCAACAAAATTACCGAAGATAAGCGCAATTAGTGTAAGCAACGTGGCCAGTTAATCGAACATTATTCAGGGAGGCAGAACAAACCAAATAAAGCGGAATGAAATTTATCCAGCTTAAAAAGACCTAGTTTAAGTGTAAGTTGGTTTAGCCCAACTGCGGTGAAGAAGCATCAAGAATGCAACATCAGCCTCAGCATGGGGCACATGCATATACATATATATATATATATATATATATATATATATATATATATATATATGCATGTGCCCCATGCTGAGGCTGGTGTTGCATTCATGATGCTCCTTCATCGCAGTCGGGCGAAAGCAACTTGGCCTTAAACTAGGTACTTTTAAGCTGTATAAATTTTGTTCCACATTATTTGGTTTAACCTGCTTACCTGAATAATCTTCTATTAACTGGCCATGTTGCTTACGCTAATAATGGTTATCTTCGTTAACTTTATTGTGTTTGTAGCAAATTTTGAGTAACTTCTGGACATGTACTTATCGCAGATTCGTTGCTAACCAAGCTACTTTATTTGCTAATTTATGGAAGTTACGTCTGCATAGTCGTATACTTTAACAGATATATTTTATTTGATAATGTCATTTCAAATGATTACCTGTTGTTTGACATCCCCGGTGTAGCTGCACTTGATGTGCATGTTAATAAGGTGCCTACCTGTCTATTACCAATTACTTCGTCTATATTGGCTCCAGGAGACAGTTGGTCGTTGCTGGAGGGGACGGGGTGCACGGTCCTTGTGGCCGTGTTAGGCTCGAAGAGTTGCACCAAGCACTCAGTGTGGACTACGGTCCAGCCACCGCCTAGTGTACGCTTGATTCCCAAATACAGCGTGTTTTTGTTTGTCTGTGAATGAATGTGGGCCGGCTCCGTTGATGAAACGTGGCTCCCATCCACACGCCTCCCGGTCTTATTCCTTCGCGTTTACACTGGATATGAGGTGTGTGGATGGAACTGTGGGTGGTGCAGCGCAAGCCATCCATGGTCCCTCTGTAGGCGCAGGCGTCCTGTGGCTTGCCACAGTGACAGGCAAATCCGAAACCGGATGCCGCCAACCATATGCATCGTTTCACGAAAGTACAGGTACTCGAAATAATCGTCGATACGTATTTTAAAACACTTTACAGAATCGGCCCCTATTAATCCTTCTGGTAGTGTATTCCATATGTTTACGATTCTTCTTTCTATACAAAGCTGAAGTGATACTTTGTTCATGCAGAGGACCTTGAGTTTATAGCGGTGTCCTCGGGTGTGACAGGGTTCCGGCAGGTGAAATATTGGCTGCAGTATGAGGAAGTGATTCAAGTGTAATACTCGATGGGTTATAATAAGGTCAATTCTCACTCGACGATAGGATAGTGTAAAGAGTCCGAGCCTTTCACGTTTTTCATACGAAGACTCGGTATCATTCTAGTTGCGATATGCTGTATTTTCTCCAGCTTTTCAGTTTCCCACTGGGTTATCGGATCGTAAGCTGGGGCACCGTATTCAAGGATCGGTCTAATGAGCGAGGTGAAAAGACGAGGGACGGTTTCTTCGGACCATGTGGAGAAACTGTATCCTAATGCCTAGAGCATACGAAGTCCCGCAGGGTACAATTTCTCCGTATTTTCTAGTGATCACATATCACGTCGCGAGAGAACTCCTAAATCTTTGACATGTGTTGGGGTGGAACAACTGGTCGTCCAAGGTGTATGATCGAGTGGCTGAATGTCTCTTGATACTGATGAATTCCGACTTGTTTGCGCTAAGAGGAAATTGCATTCCAATGGACCATGTTGACAATCACTCTAAGTCATGCTGGAGGCTAGCGCAGTCGTGCTGGTTCTCAATGATCCTCCAGATTTTCAAATCATCTTTTGCACAACCTTCGCAAGCACTTTGGATAATATCGAAGTCAAACAGATCGGTCTATAGTTCTCTATTTTACTCGGATCACCACCATTTGGAAGCCGTCCGACTATCGAGCATTTCCAATCTTCGGGGACAGATCCTTCGGAGAGTGATTTATTGAATATGTTTGTCACGGCTGGTGAGATGACAATCGATAGAGACTTGAGTATTAGTGGGTGAAGTCCGTCTGGTCTGGGGGCTTTACACCATCGAGGTTGGCGTGTAGTTGATACACTTCGACTGCGTCACCTTGTAGGCTGGCGAGCAAGATTGGCACACCCTGTGCGGGCACTGGAATAGCCGCCGGTTTACTGGAAAATACGGTGAGGAAGTGCGTAGCCAAGGCGCCTGCGCGCTCCGCGTTTGAAATGAGCGTTTGTCTGTCCAAGCTCTCTAAGACTGGTACGTCGCCCCCAGGTTTCAGCTGACGTTTCAAGTGGGCAAATATTCCTTTGGATGCAGTTGTGGCCGAGGAGCTAGATACTCTTCGAACCACCGGCGTTTCTTGATCTTTGCGGCGTTACATAAATTATGCTGTTTCTTGTACACCGTGTAATCTTCATCACAACCCAAACTGACGTGCCAATCCCAAATTTCGCGACGCCGTCGCACTAACTCTCTATATTCTGTAGCAAACCAATGCGGTTTGACAGGTCCGATTTTTGAATACTTCAGGGGAACGAACCGAGTGTACAACGAGTTAAACTTCCCCTTCATTAATGACCAACAGGGCTCAAGCGACGCATCCTGTAGTAGTGTCTAATCAGCCTGAGTTGCGGCTTTGACGAGTCCGTCTTCCAACAGTTGAATGTCGGCTTCCGTTGATTGTAATACGGTAACGATAGTTCTAAGCTTGCCACAATGGAGCAGTGGTCACTGTTCGCCAGAGGTTTGATGACCTGATCTCAAGCAGAATGCCCATTTGTTACGTCGTTCATAAAGATAAACAGAACACGAAGCTTTAAGCGAGCGACTGTTTTCGATCAATTCTTCGTCAAACTCAACTTCTGCTCGCAACTCGTAAACATTAAGTCCGGACAAGATGCCGAGTGCGGAGTTGCGCGCGCCGGTTAGATAACATGTTGCGTTGCCCCGATTTCAATAGTCATTTTAGCGGATTGAGCCTCAACGTTTCCATGACCGGGAAGAAGTCGGAAGTCTGGCCAAAATATCAGGTAAATTTAGATTCCCCATCAGTAATGAATGAGGGCGGCTCACGTGGTAGGCAATCGCAACAACGGTTTAATGGGCTACGGTAGATAACATCCACTATTAGTTCAGCGCGCCTGAGGCGGATTGTGCACCACACTTGCGCGCATAAACTATCCTTGCTCCGATAGGTGCTGGTAAGTTTGCCAGATAGTGACGATTTTATGTACAACAGAGCACCACCGTGAGCCTTTGATTTTCGGTCGCATCGGAAACAAGAGTATCCTGACAACACGACTTCTTGGGGTATGAGTCGGAGTTCAGCCAAGTCTCTGCAAGTCCTAAAACCTTCGGCCGGTCCGAGAGAGCGAAGCGGCACAGTTCGTCACGTTTGTTCATTAGGCTGCACACGTTGGTGAATGCCACACGGAGGTCCTGGGAGATGCTGCGGGACGTGCCTGAAGGTTGAGCACCCGGTTGATACGGGTTCGTACACCCTTCTTGATCACCCGAAAATTTTTATTTTGTAAGTCAGTCTCACCTTCTGTACGGCGTTTAAGCTCAATGACTGCAGACTTCAAACGATCCCTGTCTTCGGGTTCCAAGTCTCGGCGGATGTGAATTATGCCTTTCAGCCTTGACAGACGAGATAGTATGAGCTTCGGCATATTGGGATTTGCATTATTGGTTATTTTGCTGGCCAAGTCGGATTAAATGCGAAGTCTGAGCTGCCGTTTGATGACAGCAGAGCTTAAGTGAGTTTAGACGAACTCTGTGCAAGTTTCGTGGAGCTATGCGAACTCCACAGCAGCTGGGAACGTCATTTTTCTTAGTTATTCGCCACTGAATCCAGAGTCACGGCATACACGCGCCTACAGGTAAAGATGTCAATCGCAGTAGGCTTCTCCAAACCAACGCGCAAATTAACATCGGGAGGCACAGGGAAGAGAACGACCGTCGTGCCGGAGCTGTTCCGCAACCCTCTCATAGAAGGATGAACTTGCGTCGGAACACATCACGTTCACGACAAAGTTCAGAACAATAGTGGGTATTGTAAACGTTTAACGTACTCCTGCAGATCAGTGCTCATTAGTTATTCACAAAAACAAAACAAACTGATATACTCTGGTGGATGATCCGAAGTCAGTTTTGTGATGGCCCCAGCCTAAGTGTCTAGCGGAAGTAAGAATACGGTGTGGTAACCAATGACAGCCTGCTGATGCCAAGAAGGATGCACTGAATGTGTAAGTACCATGATGACATTCGAAACGAATGTGACTAAAACCAACAAAGTGAATCATTATATCAGTTAAGCACAAACCAAATACACCCAAGAGATAAGAGGTGTCGCAACAACTACGAAGGCGGACGGTGAAAATCTTCGGTAGACGAACGTATATACGCGAAATGTTTCAAAGATGTAAGTGGATTTCCTTTACAGGTACTCTGATAAGCTAACGATTAAATTATGCGACTCCGCTGACAAAAACAGCTGTAGCAAGCGTCATCAATTGAGTCAGAATCTGTCGAGGTGTCTGGAGATGAAAATACCGTTCGAATCGGACTCGAAAGTCTGACGGTGATCTAATGAGCAATGCGCTAATGCATTAGAGTCCAGATAATGACGGAGCAACATGAGACCAAAAGGTCCAGTGGCAACTAAATTATAACAAATAAAGAGGCTGGCGATTTAGTTCAATATACCGATTGCCGAAAGGCACCGAAATCATGCAAAGTCGATTTACATTTTAGAATATTTCGCACTTGAAAATTCAGTGATCCGCTTGCTTCCTTTGGATACACCAAGCAAAAAATCGCCGCAGTAACGGAGAATTCTTAAGAACACATGAACGGAAACACGTGAAATCCTTCGAAGCAAACAGAATGGATCATGCCTGAAAATGTCTCCAGACAGTAAATACTGTAAGAGCAGAAAAGTAATGCATTTGTACAGCGACAAGCTATGTTTAATCGGTACAAAATAAAAGACAATAGTCTAAACCGAAAAAGGCGGTCGTATAAACAAAGGAAAATATACGCTGTGAGATCTCTGATCAGCCGATTCGTAGGACAAGCTGGAACAGGGGTCGGATTGTACAAAGCATCGTTGTAAACTGAGTTTCGAGCAGCGTGCACGATGTAAATTCAAACATCTCAACAGATTGTATGGAACTGTAACGCTCTAAGTTTCATAGACCAACCAGGGTCATAGTGTACAGATCCGGATAATGCCGAACCCCGGCGACGGATGGTTCAGAATAATCACTGATTAACCCGAAACTGTTAGACAAGGCAATAGTGAAACGTGAAATGCGAACTTCGTTGGTCTGATAGTTGAGGCTTTTCAATATAAACATCGCTTCACCGTTTCAGGACACCAAAAATGGAATTCTGGAAGTGAACAAAAACAACGAAACCACATTGTATGCATGAGGAATTAAAATTACAATGTGCAAAGAACAATTTTATTTAAAAATCTCGCTAGGACTTTACGATGATACAGCAAAAATGACCGGCTAATGAAAGTTAGGTCAAATTTGAAGGAAACTGAATAACTTAGTAGTCGCAATGACAAAACACACATACATAGGTGAGCGCAGACAGATTAGCGGTGAAAACGCAGGCCGCTCATCGTGTTTAAGCTGAGTGGGTCTAAGTGGAACACGTTTATGACCAAGACAAAATAAGGGCATGCAACAGTGGCCGAAGTACGCAGTTTTGGTTTTAAAATCTCGCTTGCGATGACTTCGGAAGTGCTTAGAAGGTACTCCATAAGTACTCTGGAGTAGCGTTTCAGGAGTGTATAAATGATGCTGAATGGTTCACTCGAGCAGACTATTTGCCATGTTCTAACCAAATGTTGAGGCACAGAACCATTGATTCGTCTTACTGTGTTCCTTCGTGGCGGCATAGGACAATGTTCAGTGACCCATTTGGACAAGCCAGTGGTCATATGTCTGAGGTACCTTGCACCAGACGTACAAGTGAATAATTAGGATTAGACTGGGAGTCTAACATTCAGGCGCTGAGAAAGCCGCGACCTAGTTTCGTCAAGTAATTTCGGACTAGCGGATGGGAAGGTGTAGGGTCATTAGTTTCAAGTTTCATCCTTAACAGGTACTGTGTGACAACAGCATTGTTGGACTGGGTCGAAATGAAATGCTTTTTACTGAATGGAATATCCATCCGCCTGAAAAGTACTGAGGAAGAGTTTAGTTTCACTAAATCAGACATCTCGGGGCTACAAATAACCCTAGAATGATAGAAGAGACAGTGTATTAATTTTCTCTTGCGCCTAAGTGGCACAAAACTGAGAAATGGTGCGAACTTGTCTACTCATGTCGTCTTGCGAAAGACATCTCTTTCAACAGATCGATTCTCGCGTCAGTGCAATAGCAATAGAAAAGCCAGGGTACCATCTGTCTCAATTGCATTGGCGAATTTCAATGACGGTTACACCCTGTGGAAATCGTCCAGTAAGATTGCGCTGTCGATGGAGAAACCAGAGAGGATGATGTTAGAAGAGCGACGAATATCCAGAAGAGATTGTGCAGGCTTTCGTATTCCTGCGAGTCACTTCGTTACCCCCACCGGATTTTTAAAGTCGTTGGCCTGCTTGCATTTCGCAGTTCCATTCTGACACTCGATCTTTGCATGCATCCGACGGGATTTTTTGCTCGATACTTATTGGGAATCGTGAAAGCGCAAATGCTTAATGCTCTTGTTACTATTCAACAGTTACGCATCCGCAAGTTTATAGCATATATATAGCAGGCGCTGTTTTCCTATAAAAGCACTGAATCCTACTCATGCTTATTAGTGTTCTTCCTACTTTTAGTGAGTGGAACCAGTCACGTGGCCGACATCACGGTTATCATGTATCGGTTAAGAGAGAGATGTTGGCCCAGGCGACAGCATTTTTAGTTGGAACTCATTCGATTTCACATGCATTGTAGACACATTTTCCAGGATTAGTGGGGAACTCCAATGAACGTGGTTTCAGACCTATATGCAACTCAACGTAGCGCTTTTTTCTTGCCTTCTAACATATCACATGTAAATGCTGAGTGAGTGATTCACGATGGTCACTACTAAGGCAGTTGACTGTTCCAAATCACGCAGACGAGAGTGGGTGGTTTCTAACAGAGTATAAATAAAGCTTTTGATAACTTTCGTGGTTGGTCGAATACGGACTCCTCCGAGTGACTTCCAATAGACCTATGCTTAGTGGTTACGCACCATGCAATCCTGGATATTGTGTTTCCGCTGACATCAAGAAAACCGATAGAGCTATTCGGATCGCGGAACGGCCACTACTCAAAGCAAAAGAGAGGCCTCGCCAAAAGATCAAACGAGTCTCGGAAAATATAGCATTTTCACAATCGAAATAAGTATTATTATATTGTCCAAAGGAGAGTATCTAAAAGGTTCCATCTTATGATAAACCCATCACGTGCAGGAGAACGTTTTCTGTGACTGGTTACAAGTCCAAATGAATTGTCATGTGCCGACTTCAACCAAAAATGTGCTCTCATTAGTTGGCTCTTGGCCAATGAACTCCGAGCTTTCGTCGAGACTACCGACAGGAAACTAAAACTGAAACGCTCCCATCAGTAGGCTTCCTTAACAAAGCGGATTTCAGTCTCCGCATCTGCAAGTCGTGTGCTAAAATTCATACGCCAATTTAGACCCAGTTATTATCTGCTAATCTACTTTATTATTTTGTTCTAAAATTGTCAACAATCTGACGAAATTCATAAGAAATAATCTCCTTCCCACCTTTTTTATTTTTAGTTATTTTGAAGCCGTTAAAATGACAGAATCTCGCAACTATAGATATGATAAGCGATCTGCGCTATTCCATAGGGAGTATTCAATCGGAAAGGAGTACGGGATTACCAGACACTCGTAAACCGTGCTGAAGTTGATCAGGTGTTAAAGTTAAACCTGGGACACAAGAAGCGTTATATCGATACGAATCGAGAAGACCGATAATCCGTGTGATGCCCAATGAATTCCATCGATTCCAACACCCGCAACCAAAAAGACGATGGTGCACATTGTGTGTGCAGAGGGCGGGGGGAGATTATAGGCCTGTTTTTAATGAGATAGAACCAGCCTTAACTCAAAAAGCGCCGTCCATAATGCCGTCGCCTAGTAAAATTAGCGTTTTCTCTGTGGCAACACTTTGCACGAGTTGCGAATATACCATGCACAAAAACTGGTCAGTGTTCATAGGTAGCCCTTGCTTAGCCTCGCTCTGACTTGACTAAAAGTGATACAAGATAAAGTGAGTCCACTTGTGGTGTGCAAAAGGGGCAAATATATCAATGGGAAAGCAGAACGAACTAGTCGACCAAGCAGAATGGCAAGGTGGGAAAATGCGGTGTGAGCAGGTCGGTACGGGTCTTTAAGCACGGAGCGCAGACATGAGAGCGTGCCACGATGCGATCCGAGGCAACTGAACTGCGCCCACACGCGAGCGGTTTACTGGTGCAACAAAATTCAAATTATGGTGTTAACTTGAAGTACCGATGCCAAAATACACTTCCGCATCGCTTCCCCATTATATATACCAAGAGCACAACACACCAGGGAGGCCAATCGTATCTTCTGTACAGCAGTAAAATGTAGAAGACAAGTTGCGGTGTACTAAAGTCGAATACTTAATGACATCTGCCTCAGCTAGTCTAGAGTGTATGGTTTGCTTAACTCGTTGCCTCGTGTAAGTGGTGAATACGGGAGAAATACACGCCAATTATTCCAGTGACCCTGTAAGTGCTTAGCAATAATTGAAGCTCGAGATGTGGAGATCGGTGTTGAATTACATAGGGAAATGGCTGGTTCAGTTACGAAAGGCTTATCCTTGGGTCGGATATATTTAATCTCAAACGCATAGGTATTCAGCGAATCAGACAACTACGATCAACTCAACTATCTTAGGTATTCTTACAACACCGAATCATCAGGCATGTTGAGCTAGTACAAAAAGTCATCAAGGCAGATTGAGGCAAAAGTACCTTTTTGACAGTTATCAGGGGCTCTTTCGGTGTGAGGCTATGAATCCCACGTAACTGTTGTAATTCGTCTGTAAGATTCGCAATATGAGATGCCATCTCGTTGCTTTGTTTCAGGGTGTTCGATTGGGTCCGATCAAGGTAAGTCTGCAACTGCTCGACGAGGATGTGTGACACAGCGGCCTCCTCCTTGTAATATTGTGCCTCGCGAGCCAGACAAACGATGCGTGGAACAATCGAGCGGATCTGGAAAGAATTCAGTGGCATGAATGGAAACCACGAAATCACCAGTCCTATGGAAAGCATAATGAGAGCACTAAACCCAAAGTAGCCAAACTGACTACTAGTGATTCACAGAGTATCGAATTTAGAGTTAGATGTAGGTAGCACAGGTTGTTCATTTGTTAGACGAAATGTTCGCTGAGCTTCGTAATTTTGCTGCAAACGTTTCGTCACTAGTGGAGGGGACATCATCAGTGCGTTAGTGTGTAGCCTAGCGGAGCGATGGATAAGTATGTGATGTGTAAGTGATGCCTTATTACGCATAGCTCCGCTACGCTATGCTGCGCTATATACAAACGAACGGGTGATGTCAACTCGGTTGGTGACGAAACGTTTGAAACGAGATTAGCAAGCTCAGCGAACAGTTCGTCTAACAGTATTGAATAATCGGACGCGACTAATATTCACACATCTTAATGATGAGGAAATCAAGGTCAAGGCTTAAGAGACGTATATCTATATATATATATATATATATATATATATATATATATATATATATATATACATATATATATATATATATATATATGTGTGTGTGTGTGTGTGTGCTTCGTTGCCGTACAGCTGCCGGACGGAACGAAGAACAATAAGAGAGAAGGGAAACCTAGCGTAAAACTTTAATGCCTTACGCAAACATTCAGGGTCCAGGTGTTACCCCTTGTCAACAATATACCATCAAAAATAGCTGGCTATAATGCAAAGACAAGGCGGCATCGGCGAGACAGTTTTCTTGCGGCTTTCACTGCTTTGTGTCATCTTCAGGCATTACTCTGCAGAGAACTCAGCACCAAACACAATTTAAACAGGCAGTTCGATTAGCAGACGAGAGCAGACACCCCAATGGTGTCAACTGCGAGTCATGTGCTATAACGTCTCAAGTCAAGCACAACGCGAGTCTATTGGACTCCGGTCTAGAAGGCGAGACAGAGTGACGGCACGGAGTTTGGTCGTCACTGACTTCAATTCCCGCTGCCAAGTTAATTTTTGCATACTTCGGGCCTTGCGCCACCCTACATCTGGCAAACAAAACAAGGCTCCCATCGGTAAGCGGTGAACGGACATATGTGGCACGAAACGAAACTTATTCACTGCTATTTGTTGTTCTAAGGAACTAGCTTCGTTATCACTGCCTACCCGGAAGTGAACTAACTACTGGTTGGTTCAGCGGAGCTGTACGCCACCGGGCGCGTCTCCAGGTTGCGGATTGGGGAGTCTTCCTTGTGAAGGTAACTGTGAATAAGTCTCGGCTGTTCGCAGGCGAGATAAACAGTCGCAGACAATCAGCGGAAGCGTCCTAGAGCGTGGGGGGTTCTGGGCTGATCACTTGGTTCCTCATTAAATACCACAAGAGTTAGCAAGACGCTGTGTCAAAACCAATGTGACCACTCACTTCTGGTCACAGAAGTGAGTACTTAACGGAGGACGGGTGAACAACCTCGATGGCCACCTGTTTCTATGAAGGCGAATGAGCCACCCGGCTGTCGACGGTCTTCGTGCTTCGCGGCGAGTTCGGTAGTCCAGGGAATCCTGGCCACCTTGCTGCTTCATTGGGGCTCTTCGGGCACCGAGTAGTTTGCCTCTACTCGAAAACCGTTATCCTCCCCAACGGTCGCGGTATACGTCAATCGCTCCGCTGCCTTGGGGGTTAGGTCTTTATGACCCAAGGCTGCGGGTGGGGTCCCCTAAGTCAACCCTCTTGTTCGGCCTGAGCAACCGGAAAGTACCATGCCCACACAACCTATGGATCCGTGTCTCAACAATACTTCGCTCGTTCTCTCCGCTCTCGATCTATCAGTTCTCACTCTCTCGAACTGATCTCATCGGTCGAGGTGCTGGCGGCTGAACATATTAACCCATTTCGGAAAACTGGTAACGGGTTGATAATTCAGTTGCTCATTTGTTCGCCAGCTGGGAAATTTGTTTGCAAACGTTTCATCACCATGCGAGGCGGCATCATCAGTGCGTCGAGATGTGGAGTTTAATCTCGATGATTGAATTGTCGATGCGTGATCGCCGTGCAGGTGACTTTTCGAAAGTGACGGCTTCGATCTGTGTCCCGTGATCTCAACCCATTTACCCGTGACGGGGGTCGTCGCTTGGGTTGTTCCTATTCAGGCGGCGTCTCATAACTCCCTAAGTTCTCTCCGTCGGAGAGGTTGGTAAACTGGGTCAATCTCGATATGCAGGTTGATCGAGTCTTTTGTTGAGAACCACGCTTCCAGGAACTCCCTTTCTCTTCTTGTTTCGCCTCGTGCCAAGACTTCCGTTTTGGCCCACTCAAAGCTGTGTTCTTTTTCATCCACGTGTGCTAAGACTAGCGATGATGCATAATGCCTTTTGCATGCTCTTTGTGCTCTTGTAATCTTTTTGATAATTTTCTACCTGTTTGGCCAACATAGTCCTTTGCGCAATTTATACAACTTAGTCTATATACAACATTACTTTGCTTATGAGCTTCCATTTTCTCTTTCGGTTTCGACAGAGTTTTCCTCAATGTGGCAGTTGGTTTGTGTGCTACGATGAGGTGATGTTTGAATAGTCTTGCTGCCATTTCGGATATATTCTTCATATTTGGTAAAACAACGCGTCTCCCCGTCGCTGGTATAGACTGTCTGTTTGGTTTGTTGTGATTCATACACCTTCGGATGAAACTTTGCGGGTATCTGTTGAGTTGGAAACATTTAAATAGATGCTTCTGTTCTAGTTGCTTTGCCTCCGTGGTACTGCAGTGTGTTTGCACTCTACCAAATAGTGTCCGCACACAGCTTATTGTATGGCATTTCGGGTGGTTACTGTTAAAGTTCAGAATTTGGTCCGTGTGTCCATTTTCTGTAAACTGATGTTTGCAGCCTCCCACGGTTCTGGTTACTAATACATCCAGGAAAAGCAGTTGGTTTTCCTTCTCCATTTCCATCGTAAACCGGATGTCTTCAATGGCGTTGTTCAATAGCTGCTGTGCGACTGTAACTTGACTGCGTTTGATGATCACAAAAGTGTCGTTAACATATCGGACCCACAGTTTCGGATTAATGAGTGGGAGTACATCTTCCTCTAATTTTTGTATTACCATCTCCGCGATGAGTCCCCATATAGGGGATCCCATTGGCGCGCCTTTCAATTGTTCGTAGATCATCCTCGCATGGCGGTGAAGGGTTTACAAACAAATTTCCCAGCTCGGCGAACAAATGAGCAACTGAATGCTAAACCATGTTTTACCGCACCACCGTTTAGTCACTTTATTCCAAATTTGTTTAACCCCCCCTCCATTCTTGGTCTCCCCTTCCGTTTCCGAGTTCACAACACCGTGCCGTCTTGGGCGGACGTCCTCGCTATACAGATCAGGAGACAAGGTCCGAGCATTCGTCAAGTCGTGATGACAAGACATTTCGAGCGCCCCGTTCCAAATTCCAGTCGGCAATCTTTAATGTTGGGACGCTGATGCAGATTGGATCACAGGCAGCTCAGGCTCGCACTCTACAAACTACGGTCATTGATGTCTGCTGTCTAAGCGAGACTCCTTTACAGGACTCTAGCACGACACTGCGAATAGCTTCACCGTCTGGGAATTCCACTGGCATTTTTACCTTGCGCCTATCTGGAGACCTAACCACCGAAGCCGCTGATTATGCTGGTGTGGTGATTGCGTTAAACACACGTGCTAAGGCCGCGTTACTAGACTGGATCCCTATTAACAGTCGACTATGCGCGATCCGATGTGAAACCTTAGTGTAACTATCCAGGTGTGCAGTCAGCAGACGCTGACCATTAATTGTCGCAGCGTGCGCGCCCACAGATTGCAGCCCGGAGTCAGGATGATTTCTATAGCCGATCTCCGTAAAAAGCGCCGTATCGACATCGTGATGCTCGCCAGGGATTTGAACCCGCAGGTCGGTAGACTTGAAGTTGACGAACGTGAACTTAGTGGTCAACACGGTTATGGATCTCGCAAAGTTGATAACGGTGATCGACTAATTCAGCTATGCATCGGTCACGGCCTCTTTCTGTCGAGCACTAGCTTTCGGGGATCCTGGCGCCAACGCCCCAACTGGAGACCCCGTCACCTTGCCAGTCGTGGACATAAATTGACAGCATCGTCATTGGCTATCGCTGGCGGGCCTGCATGCAGGATTGCAAATCAATCTGGAGTACCTACCTCACTTCGAATCACACGATGGTGCGTGCTAAGGTCGCGCCACGCTTTGGTGGCTCCCAGCAGAATCGCCGGAAACGGCTTGACATAGCTAAACTTTCTGCCCCGAATGTTCTACGCGCATTTCAGGATACCTTGGTCCCAATGCTGAAGACGGCCTCATGCACAGACGTTGAAACACACTGCACACACATTCGCGATGCCATACACAACTCTGCATCCCTGGTCTGTGGCTTCATTAGTAGTCCTGTCAAGCACTGGATCTCTGCACGATTCCTTCCCCCCCCCCCAACTTCTCGAAGCACGTCGAACAATTGCTGCTAGCATTAAATACGATTCATTACACATGAGTACTAACACTGAGCTCAAACAGCTCCTCCGGGAAGATCGCGAGGCCTGCTGGACGCAGCGCGTCATTGAGATGTAGCAAGCGGCCACCTCGGGGAATTTCCGTAAACTTTCCTGCTGATCTGATCTACTGGCGGCAAAAGGCCGACTGTAAACGAAGTTTTATGCGAAACCAATCCACTGTCAAAAACTCCGACTCGAGCGTTGGGCCGAGCATTTTGAGCAGCAGTTCATTGGCCAGCAGCACCAATGAGTTCCCATTTTGGAGTCCAGAGCGTTTTCTGGCGTATAGACGCTTCACTATCATCCGATGCTGAGGCTGCCCATGAGCTTCGCCTCTTAAAGCGCTACAAATCCCCTGGCTCAGATGAACTCTCTCCGGTTCTTTGAACAATGAACAATGATTTATCACGAGATAAAAGCAAGTGCTTGACATGTCCCGTAGGATGGTAGCGGTGAATATGATGCAATTAAAATATGTGTGGGTCATCTATCGAACGTGTGCCGAGATGAATACTTTGATAATTAACATCAGTGTGAAATGAAAAAGAAATATCGCGCGTAAACATTCAGAAAGACACTGGGGCGCAGTGATAGTTGAGGTAAGGAGTGAGAAAATAAAATATGGTCGTTCACTTAGGTCCATTTGATACATTAGTCCTGTTGAAAACATGCTTGGCGTAATCCACAACAGAGGAGCTTAGGTAACAAAATGTTGGGAGCTGAGGGCAACATCTAATCGTTTTTTGAAAACATCCAGGGTAGGAGAGGATACTACTGAGTCTGAGAGTGCGTTCCATGGTTTGCAAACCCGAAGGGAAAAGTAATTCCGTCGACACTCTAGACGGCTATATTGTTCCTTCAACTTTAAGCAGTTACCCCTGAGCTGCGTGTTGTGGCTAAGTTTCAGCAAATGGCGGCATACGTGGTTGGGGTCACTCAATATTTGATACGCTAATATGAGATCGCCGCGCAGCCTTCGATAGCGTCCGCTGAAAATTCCCAGCAACTTCAGCCTTCGGTGATAAGAGTAATACCGCAGGCCCATCACGTTCTTTGTTGCTCTCCGTTGTGGTGCCTCTATCGCTTCTAGGTCGCGTTTCAACCAAGGTTGCCAAGCTTGGATTGCGTACTCAACTTGCGGGCGCACGTAGGAATTGAGCATCATTGGGAAGATTGATGGGTCAAATCTCCCGAATGCCCTTCGCAGCATGCCGAAGTGTTGGTTGCCTCTTTTGGCAGCTACCTCAACCTGTTTTGAACAGTTGAGGTCGCTCTGTACGATCACACCAAGATCACGTTCCTGGGAGCTATTCTGCAATTCCTTTGTCCCAAGTATGTAGGTGTAGTTATGTCTATGGCGTAATTGTACTACGCGACATTTGTCTACGTTGAACGGTAGAGCGTTTTGAACTGACCAGTTCGACAGTGTGTTAAGATCGTGCTGGAGCCGTTCATGGTCATCCGGTCCTCTGATCCTTCGCCATATCTTGATATCATCAGCGAAAAATAAAAAATCGGAAGTAACTGATGTCGCCAAATCGTTAATGAACATCAAGAATAGACGAGGTCCAAGAACCGAGCCTTGTGGTACTCCACACGTCACGTCGACTGCATGAGAAAATGATTCTCGGACTCTCACCACTAGCCGTCGTTCTTGTAGAAAATTGCTAATCCAACTCAGGATTGGATCGCCAATGCCGTAGTTCCGAAGCTTCTGAAGGAGAACTCGATGGTCTAAACGATCAAACGCTTTTGAAAAGTCCAGGTAGATGACATCGACTCCAACTCCATCATCAACAGCTTCAGTCCAGCTGTTACGTGCAATTAATAGGTTAGTGTTACACGAATGCTTTTGACGAAAGCCATGTTGCTCTGGGGCTATTAAATTGTGGCTTTCCAGGTATTGCATCAGCGCGTCTGCGACGATGGATTCCATCACTTTGGATAGTACGGGAAGTAATGTTATTGGACGGTAGTTTGCAGGATCAGTGCGGCTACCTCCTTTATGGATAGGAGTGATGACCCCTTGCTTCCATACTGGTGGAATAAGGTTTTCCTCTAGACATCGCTGATAGAAAACAACCAGTGGTTCTGCTAGATCACTAGCTACTGCCTGTAGAGCCTTTGGACGGATGTTATCAGCTCCGGGAGAACTGTGGATACGCAAGGATAACAACTTCTTCAACACAGCCTCCGTAGTGAAGGTGATGTTTTCTAAACCAGATGGTGGAGTATTAGAAATGAAATGAATGTTTGGGCTCGACACTTGTTGGAACGTTTGAGAGTAATGAAGCCGTAGGAGATCAACTGCTTCCATTGCTGACCGCGTGCATCCATCAGCTGTGACTAGCGCCGGAACCCCTCGCTTTACCTTTCGAAGGCCGTTAATGTGCCTACACAGGAGTTTGTGGTTAGTGCAGAATCGCTTCATTAACTTCTGCTGATGCGTGACCTCGTCCTCGCGGATCAGTTTCACACAGAAGTTACGATGTGTCACGTATGCAGTCCAGGTTTCGGCATTCGGGCAACCCTGGTGATTTCGCCATGCCAAATCCCTCCGGGACAGACATTTACGTGTTCTGCTCCTCAGAATTGACTTACTCTGGTTTTGGGGTTGGAAGGACTTCTGTTCCGATGCTTGCGCTACCAGTGTGCTCAAAGTCCTTGTAAACATATCCCAGGCCAAATCTGGGGGGCATTCGAATAAGAAAGTCCAAGATGTATCCTTAACAAGCTTGGACAACACATTGTAGTGCGTGACAGTGTGCACTTTATCCTCCTCCTTTTCCGGGTACTCGGCATAGCATATATAATCAAAGAGTAGAGTGACATGATCACTACGACCCAGTGGTGTGCTTGTAACTATCCCGCCAACCATGAGTTCTTCGTTAGTTAGCACAAGATCTAGTATCGACGGCTTGTTAGAAGTTCGAAATCTGGTGGGAGAGGTTACGTGGTTGTAAAGAGGGTGGATAGCAATAAGTTCTTGCAAACAGGCTTTAAACTGCGTACCGTCAGTTGCCGGCGTTTCTATGTCGTGCACGTTAAAGTCTCCCGCGATAAGAATGTGGGTGTAGGACTTGTTCAAAGCAAACTGAAAAACGTGGTACAGTTTGGAGTCCATTTCCGACGTTGAGTTTGGCGGGCGATAAACCACGGATAGTAGACATGTGTCCTTGTTTCGCAACCAAAGGCGGCACCAAAGCGAATCGGGAGCTCGGATTTCTGGGTGATCGATAACTTCACATCGGAGGCTTGTATTATAGTAAAGAATCACACCGCCACCCATTCCGGTTCTATCGGTCCGAAGCAGCGACATACCGGGTAACTTGATCTCACAGTCGGTTATCTCAGGGTTTAACCATGTCTCTGTAATCATGACGAGGTCTCGTGGTTGTGAGGCATGGAGTTCTCTAAGTTCGGCCAACTTGCTTCGAAGGCCTTGAGCGTTTGTGTACATGCAAGATAGGGCTTTTGTGGTTAGGAGTTCATTGGTGGATGTCAAGTTTGTGTTCGCTTTTAAGCCGGCCGTTAGGTGGCCGGCAATTAATCGTTTTTTGGTTTGTGTATTTCAGTCGTGTTACATGACATTATTGAGCGTTCCTGAACTGATGGTTCACTCGTGCTGTGCTCGGTCCTCCTGCCTGACGTGGGCGCTGTTGTGTCGATCTCTCCGAAGGACTGTGCAAATAAAGAATTTGCAGGATCTGCAAGTTCCATCGAATTTCTTCCGACTTTTGGTCGTTCGCCTGCTGCCTTTAGCCGTATTTCTGTTGGCAACCTAGCTCGAAACTTTAACCAGCTATCCAACAGAACTTGCGTCATTCCCTCAGAGTGTAGTATTACCTTCATTAGTCTAGGACCGCAGCCCTTGTAGTTAGGTGACAACGGAACTCTTGTTAGGGATTTGGCAATAACATTGTTAACACAGAGTGCTTCGCGGATGTAGCACCACTGTTCTCGGTCATGTGTATGTGCATCGTGATCAAAAGCATGCAGGAGCTCGGGAACACCATGAACAAATATTGTTTTCTTGCTATCCCTAGTAGCAATACCGCGTTGCTCCACTGCTTCTTTTGTGCGGTCTTTCCAAGGTAGATCAGGTAATATGCGCACTCCGCTCGGTGAGTTGCGAAGACGAACTGCTGAGAGCAGGACAGCCTCTGTCTCATCTGCTGAGTTTAGAGTTACTCGAAGAATTCGAGGTTCACCAGAGTGCACTGAGGTCGGGTGACGTGCTACGCGTTGCAGCATTGCAGATGGCGAAGATGGCGGCCCATCACTTGTTCAGGAGTTACCTTCTCTCATCCAAGAGATCTGGGTCACTGAAGTTATCCAATCTGATTGGAGCCTATCGAATATCGAGCCCGTCTTCAAAAAAGGTACCTGAACTGACTGCACCAACCACAGAGGGATTAGTCTCATCTGTGCTGCTTCCAAGGTGGTCGCAGCTCTGCTTCTAAGAAGGCTCAGCCTAGTGCGCGAACAGAGCATACCTGGAGAGCAAGTTGGGTTCCACTCAGGTCGGAGTTGCATCGATCACATCTTTACACTCCGCCAAATACTCGAGTGTCGTCAAACAGTTGGCCAGCCAACGATCGTTGTCTTCTTAGACATAAGAGCCGCGTTTGATTCAGTCGACGGAGCTGCTCTCTGGAGTTGTCTACTGAGAAGGGGAGCGCCCGAGAAGTATGTCACCTTACTTCAAGACATTTAATCTCAAACCTAGGACCGAGTACGGGTGTACGGCGGACTTCCGCTCCCATTTAGTTTCACCAGTGGTATGAGACAGCGTTGCCCAGCATCCCCACTACCACTATTCCCACTAATACTCCCAAGAAGACTAACAGGATTCACACAACCACTGTGTTATCAATCAATCAATCAGTCAACCAATCAAGTTATCAATCAAGAGAATGACAATCTGTTCGGTCATGCATGTGCCGGAAGATGAGACGAATCGACGGGCGGATATGGGTGAGAGCTCAAATAGGCACTAACGAAAAGAATGAAGGGATGAAGATGGATAAAACATGGAAGAACACTAACCTCATCCTGTAGAATGGAAACAAGTGAGGCAAAATATTGTGCCTGCTCAGTCAGAGAATGGATTCGAATTTGAAGCCATTCGATGAGCGACTTTTCGTATCCATCGGAGTCCGAGTTGGGCACATCGACTGATTCTTCAGTGCCTTTGGATGATGGATCGGAGCTCAGTTTCTGTAAGGATAGGCGAGTTGGTAGCCGAAACAATTTAGATGCTATAGTTCCTCGAAAAGGAGATGAATGAGTGTCTTAGCAGAACCAAAAGCAGCAAGAAGGCAGCTTGGAGCATAGCGGCACTAAGCGTTGTAATAGCCCGGTTACAAATAACGGTAAACAGCCACTGTGCCGGCCCGTAGCCCAAAAGCAACGACCTTGTCCTGTAATCTGACGGTGCGGGTTCAAGCCTGCGTAGAGGCAGGGCGACCCTTGCAGTATCCTTAGCCCACATGCGATCAGTGGTGGTTGCGCAGCAGCGAAGCCATGTGACACCACACACTGAACCAGACTGGTCGGTGATTAAGACGGTTGGATGATAGCCGTGTGGACGGCGGTCGGAAACAGGACGGACTTAGCAGCGTCAGCCCTGTACAGTCTAAAGAGAACTTTGAATATACCAAGTGAGGACATACTATCCCTCTATTCCAAATCCTTCAGTTATATCAGGGGTGTCCAAACTTTCTGCGAGGGCCACATTTTGAGAGGTAAAAATACGTCGGGCCATATTTAGTCTGATACTAAGATAATAACAAAAATTAGACATGCACGAAAAAAGTCCAAGCATGAAAATATTATTTCATGATGAGGCCGCGGGAAAGTTGAAATGTTAACGCGGGCCGCATTTGGCCCGTGGGCCGGACTTTGGACACTCCTGACTTGTATCCTTACAGAAATTTAAACATGTTTACTTTTAAGACGCATTATGAAACACATCACGTTTGCAATTTAAATTATCGGTATATTTTTGACTCCACAAAATCAAACATTCCAATCCTGACAGTCTGTCGATTAGCGAACTGCCACGCTGCCGTACGTATGGCAGTTCCTGCCCTTCCTTATTTCGATCGCAAACCTATTCGTAAGTTGATTACTGTATTTAATTTGCATTATAGAACCACGGTAAAAGGAATTTGCGTTTTAGTTCCTCGGCCTAGACCGTGCGTATACTATAGTTTTGCTAACCTATAGTTTCTTTCCCATCTCGTGCGTCCACCTAGTCTAGGCTTCGTATAGTCCTTACAGTCCCAATGAGATAAGGGAATGAGGTTTCCTAGCAGCTAGCATCTATCTGATTGGACCTTCTTTTCTGGAAAGGGCACAGAGTAGGAAAATTTGCCCCATCAGCCTAAGAAGTGAATAAACCCCACGTGGCACAAAATGCACATCCGCTGACAGTAGGTGCACAATACTGGTAGCTGTGACTTTCTAAATGTGTATCGGACATAACAGTTGTGTAAGTAGTGTGGTAGCATGAGATTAGCGATTTGTGAAGTGCCGGTGGTTCCGTTGAATATGGCATTGTATGTGATAAACGACGTATGGTATGAATTGAAAAATGTGCAAAGCAAAACTGGTCGAATCCACTTGCATCGGTTTCCATTATATGCCGTTCGCGGTCCAGTTGATAGTTGTGGGAAATTTCGCCAACCTGGCGCTCAAGCTTGATAGCGCGAAGGACAAGAGTTGAATTAGATTCCGACAGATTAACAGTTCGTTCCCGAGAGAGCACTGCTGCTGTCCAATTGCGTAGTGCGTCAACCAAGTCAGCCAGGATATTATCCAAACTATCTTTGGTCGTGGCAGCTGATACACTAGTGTCAGTCATACAGGAAACATTTCTGAGGGTGGTGCAAGCTGAGGAAACAGAATCGGTTGATTTCTCGACCCCGAATGAAGATTCTGAGTTCTGTGTTCAATAGAGACGAAGCAGTAAGTTGAATGACCGGTTGGACATAAAAAGTCACCAATGTCAGAGACAACGCAGCCCCCGTCTCAAGATACAGCAATCAAGCAAACAAGCAATACACGTTAGTTTAGGGTGAGAAACACATTTCAGCAAATGTGTCGCAATACAAAAATATTTAAAAACAGGTAATATAACATTAAATATTGCATTATGCATTTCGTATGAGATCAGAATTGAAGGGGGAATCTAAAAGGGTGTGTGATGGACAAAGAAACTGACAACACGAACGTTACTGGGTCGGCTCTTCGCCACATGAACAAGTGTGTCCAACCAAACGTATTCATCGTCCTTATGACCCCAGCAAGCCAGTCGGAATGCACCAACTGAGGCCAACTTCGAAGTGAGGGTTTTCACTTCTCTCTCGCCTAAGTCATCGTTTGGCCTCGCTTCCTTCTTTTTCAACCGTACCCCGGCGCACAACCAAGGCACGTTGCGGGAGTCGGTGTGCTGGCATGCGCAACACGTGGCCAAGCCATCGGAGCTTGGTGTGTGATATAGTGGTGCTGAGCGGTTCATTAGCATTTCTTGCTAAAAAAAATATGCGACGCTGAACAAGCGCATTGCACATGCATTGCTCCCACCAGACACGAGCTAAGCTACGAAGGCAGCGATGGTCGAACGTGACGAGCCTCTTTATGTCTGTCGACCTGATGGGGCAGGTGTCACAACCGTATGAGGGTTGAACGGACGGCTGCATTAGAAACTCTGCAATTCAGGACGAGAGTGATGTCGCGTCTGCGCCACAGGTGGCGGAGATTGGCAAAAGCACCTCCAGCTTTTGCTATACGGTTCGTAATCTCACCTTCGATTTACGGGCGCTAATATAGCTGCCCAGGTATTTGAATTCCTGAACGATTTCCAGCTGATCAGCACCGAGGGTCACCACAGGGGTGGGGTTTCTGCCAATCTTGGAGAACTTTGCATTTCGTTGGAGCAAACTATAGCCCAAAACGATAGACAGCCAATATTAATCGGTCCAGTGCCGCTTGGCACATTTTGGAGCTGTCACAGATGAAGGCAATATCATCCGCATACTCCAAAGCTAGAAGTCGCTCACCAAGAAGTAGCTATACACCTTCTAGGTGGTAACCAGCGAACGCTGTTTCTATGACTTCATCAATAGGGAAGTTAAAGAGGAAAGGTGACAGCTGGCAACCTTGTCTCACCGCTGGAGATATTGAAGGACGGCGACAGCTGGCCATGAATCGAATTATGGGCGCACAAGGCTTTGAGAATGTTTACGTATTTATCAGGCACACCTTTTCTCAGCAAACAGTCCCAAACGGCACACCGAGCAATCGAATCGAAGGCATCTTTTATGTCGAAAAAGGCGACTACGGTAGGTTGTTGATAAACATGACGGTGCTCCAACAATTGACGCAAAGTCAAGATGTGGTCGACGCAGCCCCGACTTTGACGAAACCCGGCTTGCTCTTCGCGGATCTGGCTTTCACGAGCGTCAGCCAGCCTGTGGAGAACGCCAGACGCAAGGAAATTAAAGGCAACTAAGAACAAACTGATCCCTCGATGACTGCCGTATTCCGAACGGGAGCGTCTCTTAAAAATTTGGACTATGATGGGGCGGCTCCAGTCTATTGGAACAGTTTCTTGCACCCAAAGTCCCATTAACAGCTCGTGTAAATGGTCCACAAAAGTAGGTCCTTCGAATTGGAAGAGAGCTGGGGAAATTGGATCTGCTCCGCAGTCTTATGCAATCTCAACAATCTGATCTCATGTTCGATTTCTGCGCATGATGGTTGATCTGAGGAGGCAGCCCATGGAGAAGGGCACTCAATGCCCAAGAAAAAGAAACGATAACTCAGATTGCTTAAACTGCTTTGCCTTGAATTTAGGGAATACGCTGGGTGGTTAGGTTGCGACTCGTAACCTCTGTTGAGACCTCGATTCACTTTGAGGTAAATCTCGGTCATTCCGATAGCGAGGACAGTATCCGGAATGGAAATAATTGGGTATTGCTCCTCCCAACACTGGCACACCACGACCGCAGTTTCGTCCTGGTTTGACCTCATCAAGTGGAGATAGCCTGAGCTGGAGTGGAACTAAGAGCGTAGTAGTTCACGGCTGACGCCCTGGAAGGAGCAACACCCAAATATTTCCATTCCGGATACGTCCTCGCGATCGGAATGATCGAGGTTTACCTCAAAGTGAACCGAGGTCTCAAGAGAGGTTGCGAGTCGCAAACCAACCATCCAACGTGTTCCCTAAATTCAGCTTTGAATTACTTCCCGCTGTGCCAAGCGTTGCTTGCGGATTTCAGTAGCATAGTGTTCAGGGCGTCAGCTGGGAACTACCAGGCTCTGAGTTCTACCCCAGCTCCGGCTATCTTCACTTGATGAGTCCAAACCAAGATGAAACCGCGGTCGTGGTGTGCCAGGGTTGGGAGGAGCAACACCCAAGTATTTACATGCCCTACAGTGTTCGACGCAACACTCCAAACGTTTTGTCAGGCTGTGGATCAGCTGCCCAATCTCGTCGCTTATGGTCTCGCTAACACCAGGTTTTCTGCTGCCAGTTTCCCGTATCAGACGGAATAACTTACGATGCTTACCAACGACAGCGACTGTTTCCATTTCCCATGCACAATGAGACTACCAGGATTCGCGGTCTCTCTTCAGGCTAGAACGTAGTTTTGCCCTGAGATTTCTGCGAGTCTCATTGTATTCGCTTCCAGCCGGAATACCTCGGCGACCATCCATAAGTTCCAGAGGCTTTGTAGAGAGCCAATATCTAGATTGAGAATTTGATTTGCCACATGAAGACATGCCTGCTGATAGTAACGTTTGGCGAATATGAAACCAGTGATCTTCGACGGTGTTCAGTGGGCGCTTACTCAGCCCGCATGCTAGCGTACTTTGACACACATTCAGGACAACTGGCTTCGCCAATTGGAAAGTGTCAATGCGCTCAGAGCGACGTTGCGCGCGTCCACCGAAAGGCACCCGAAGGTCGGCACACATAAGAGCGTGATCGAAGGCCGCGCTCATGCTCCAAATCGAGCGACAGTGTTGGACACAACTTCTCCAGCGGTAACTAATCGCGATGTGATCGATTTGCGTCCATGGCTGGTGCGAAGCTGGTGGGCGCCAAGTCACGCTTCTTCGAGTGCTGTGTCGAAAGTTTGTGATCGCAAGAAAGAGACGAGCATCTTCACACAGCGGTATCAATCGTTCACCGTTATCATTACGGGAGCCTACACCATGTTGGCCGCCCAGATGAAGCTCTTCAGAAGACAATTTTCCGACTTGGGCGTTTAGATCACCAGCAAGCACCACAGTATCCGTGCTTCTTCTGTGACGAAGGAGATCGTTAAGTTAGTGACAGAAATCGTCTTTCATCGAATCAGTGATGCAGTTTGTGGAGATGTAAGCTGTAATGAGAAACACGCACCGTTTGTCCCCGCGCGACTTCGAAGCCTGGAACGATCCAGCTAACCTAACGGCGCACATTCAGTTGTTAACTGGGATCCAGTCGATCAGGGCAGCTTCAGCCCAAGGATGCCACAATGCCGACGCCAGCTTGACCAGCACTTGAAGCTGCGTCATCGCCAGACAGGCGCATTGAGAATGTACCGCCAGTGTCGCAAGCGGGGGATCGCAGGGTAAGCACGGAACTCGAACCTTGCAGGTGCGTTTTCGATAAACAACAAATATTGATCGACAGGGTCTCGAGTGTTCGGGCAAGTGCCGTCTGTTAACCAATCTGTAGCAAAGTGCGTACGTTGAGGCATGCCAGTCTTACTGAGGATCGAGGACTCCAAAGAGAAATGAATGAACTGACTTTCTCCGCTTGGTTGAACATGGACTTGTCGACTGGACTAGAGCGACGTCCTGCGATTGTGTGTGGGTCGAAACTAGAAGACAAGTGACTATTGAAGCAAGGTTGGGGTGGCCAAGAATTAAGAGAGTGAAATCGGGGGATGAAAGTGAATTTGGAGCGAGACACTAAGGATGTAAAAGCGCAAGAGGAGGGATAAAAAGGCGGAAAGGCCTGAGCAGTAGCATCCAAACCAGTATCCACCCTACTCGATGCAGCAGATAGGGTGCAGTTTATTATCCTCTGCGACGGTCAGAGCATCAAGAGATTGTTAGAAGGAAGAGTCATGATGTATTGCGTGGGCAGGATACTGTCAGGTTGCCCAGGCTTAGACAGGAGAACGATTAGAGTTCTCAACCAAAGCCTTTGATCCAAAAAACCTTATCGCAAAGCAGCGGGGTTTTGGCACTAGATTACAGAAAGCCCGTTTTATGGAGTAAGGAGCGCCCCCTCACTTTAACCCCCAACCTGGAGGGCCAGGAGACTGAGTTCGTTTGGCCTCTGACCACTGAGCAATCTGGTATGAATGGTTCTGAAGGTGCAAAGCACCACCCAACATAGCTCAATGGATCATTGAGGCAATGGAACACTGAATCGAAATCCAGATCCAAAAACGGACTAGATCGCATAACAGTGGAAACATCTAACTGCAGCCAATGTCTAAGAAAGTAGACTTGATTCACTAAAGCGCATCTACAGTACTATCGAACATGCGTTTGGATCTAAAAACTTCCGATATAATAAGATAAAATTGGGCGAGACTGCACAGAAACCTTAAGAGAAATTCCTTCGGGTGCCCAGCGATTATTCACATTACCAACCACTGATACCCATGCCGCACTGGTTGTCGAAACCGCCGCCAGTGCCGCGTCTTGAAGTTCACGCAGTAAACTGAATGAAAGTAATATATGCTTCTAGTTTGCAAGTAGATTTCAAACGTTCGAACCAAGATAAATACACGGCAATGGTAAAATATTAGGCGACTCATAGGCGAATCCGACTAATTGCAGCATGGGTGCTGTTGCGCGGGCATGCAGTTGGTTCTCCGGTAACACATGGCGTTTGGAACATTGCTGGTTCACTGATTAGCCAGGAGATTCTGGGCA